GAATTTAACATGCATCATTTTTATTTATTATTGTTTTTAAGTTGCCCCTTTTTAAAGTCTTTTTCTTCTTTGGAATTTTCTAATTTAATTTCTTGTTTTTTTTTTTTCTTTTGGGAAGTATAATTTACGAAGAGATGTCAGAAATGCTTTGTGGAAAATAAAGTTGCATCAAATTTGGAGTGAACTTTATTTGTTATGAATGGGTCAAGAAGAGATTATTTATCAAAAATTTGTAAAGGTTTATTTTAATACAATCACAAACAAAAAATTGGTGTACCATAAGGGAGAATCTGAAATCTTCTATTCAATTTTTGTTGTTCCATGACCATGAATGCATTTATGCATAATTTAATTTAGAACTAAATCTCAGTGGCATAGGGGGAAAATCCTACCCAATGACACATGAACAAAGTGTTATACAATTTCCCATTTATTTTCAAAGATATTTTAGAGTAGGAAAGGCTCAGATCTTATGTCAGCTTGACTACAAAGATTAAAAGAGAGACTTTGTATTTAAAGATATAATCAGCTTGATTCTTATTTTTTGAAGTGAAAAAAATAGCACAATTGAACATGACAGATTTACCCAGCAAATGATACTCTTAGGCAAAAGTCTAGGGAATTGATTTCTTTGAAACAAAATTACCTTGGCAATCATATCTTAGATCTAGATATAATTTCTCAACTTTTTCAAGCTCATCCACGCTGCCTTCAGAATTTAATTCAAAACAAAAAAAGCCAAAGCCAATTCCTAATGTACAGCACTCTCAGACTAAAATGAAATAATCCAGAGCTACATTCTAGTACTCTACCAGTGTGTGTTAGCTACCAAACAAAGTGGTAAACAGGAGATAACCAAACTTTATGTACTAGTTAGGAAACAAGTCTGCCCTTATTGTTTTACAAACAAGTGCCATTACTGTTTTACAAACAAGTGGGCCTTTATTGATTTCTGTGCTGTATACATGTTTGGGATTTTTAAAGTTAGCATCTGGGTCGGACCCAGAGGGTGGTGGTTGACAGAAGACAATTGTCATGGTGCCCTGTGACCAGTGGGGTCCCCCAAGGCTCTGTTCTTACACCTATATTGTTCCACATCTTCATTAATGATGTGGACATTGCAGTCAGAAGTGGACTGGCCAAGTTCGCCGATGATACCAAACTCTGGGGTAAAGCATCCACACCTGAGAACAGAAGGGCGATCCAGGCTCAGGAAATGGGCGGCTGAGAACCTGATGGTGTTTAACACCGAAAAATGCAAGGTTCTCCACCGTGGGAGGAAAAACCTGCAGCATCCTTCTAGGCTTGGCAGTGCTACGCTGACTAGCACTATGGATTAAAGGGACTTGGGGGTCATGATTGACCACAAGATGAACATGAGCCTTCGATATGATGCTGCAGCTAGTAAAGCGAGCAAAATGCTGACTTGCATCCATAGATGCTTCTCAAGTAAATCCCGGGACATCATTCTCCCATTGTATTTGGCCTTGGTGAGGCCACAGCTGCAGTATTGCGTCCAGTTTTGGGCCCCACAATTCAAAAAGGATGTGGAGAAGCTTGAGAGGGTCCAGAGAAGAGCCACGTGCATGATCAGAGGTCAGGAAAACAGACCTTATGACGACAGGCTGAGAGCAGCATGGGGCTGTGCCCCTTAAAGCAGAGGCATGAGCAGGGGTCATATCGCCAGGGCAACAGGAGGGGAGCTCAGCGGCAAAGAGATTCCCATGCAGCCCCGCTGTCCCCAGCCATGCAGGGTCATGCCCGCAGTGCTGTGGAGGCCCTGGGGGGAAGGAAGCAGGGCGGGAACTCAAGCCTGCAGACTGTGCCTGCCTCATGCACAAATCTGGGGGGTGCAGGTCCCCCCTGCCCCATAGGAGTGCATGTGGTGGCAGGGAGCAGGCCCTCCTCCTCCCTCGCCTGAGCCCGCAGCAGGTGGGAGTAGGGGCAGGGGGTTGCGGAGCTGGGTCCGCAGCCTTGGCAGTTGGGGGCCCCCTCTGGCAAGGCTGGGGAAGCAGAGGCTGTGGGTGGGGGGCGAGGGACACCAGCAAGGCTGTGGGGACTGGGGGGTGGGGAGTGAGAGGCACGAGCAGGGCCAGGGGGCTGTGGGTGGGCAGTGAGGGGCACCAGCGGGGATGGGGGGGGCTATGGGGGCGGGATTTCATTTTAATAATGGATTTTGGGTTTTTTATCAGAGAATTCATGCTTTATTGACTTTAGTGGAGATACATAAATGTACCCTGTTGTGATATTAGAATCTGACCCAGTGCCTCTCTTTATCTTCCAAATTGGTGATACATTTCCATATACATCACTGCATGGTACTGCATTTTAAAAGGTACAATTTTGCTTACCTGTTTCACTAGCTTTTAATCTTCTACCTTCATGAAATGTAAATATATTGTGGTAAGCATAATGGCAAGGATATGACTAAGTAGGAATAAAATGTTTGATTTACACACTATTGCAAAATTCTGCCTTACATGCTCATGGTTAACACTGAAATGAGTGGAAACCACAATGCTAATCTGCAAGAGAATTTGGCACACACCTTGAAAATAATAATAGTAAAAAACCCTGAATTACTATAAAAATACCCACAGAAATACTTTATACTGAGATTTATTTTTGAGAGTTAGTGTTGCATCCCAGGAACTTAAAAACCATATTTTCTATTAGGAAAACATTTCCCATACCAATTTATATTCACTGCATGTATTAAGTTCACAAACCACAGTTAAGTTTTCCTCTGGGGCACAGTACACTCATTTTTTATACTGAGAATAATGAAAGTTCTAAAAAAACCACAGAGAAATTATTTTCCCAGTCATGTTTGCAATTCTTTACTCTTAGAATTACATAAGTCTCTGCGTTATGACATTTAATTCCTGTTTTTATAAGTCTTTGCCAAAGAAAGAGTAAAGAATCTTCATTTTGTTTGTCTTGTCACCCTTCAAAAGTCCTGAAATAAGCATTTTCACATGAATTCATAAACTGACTTTAATGTTCAAAGAAACTTAATTTCTCTGTGCCCTGCAAGGAAGGGGAAAATTAGAGATGGGCCAGTAATTTACTATTTATGCCTATCTAAAGTTCTGCTGGGATCCTTTTATACCATTTTTAGCATCCAACCTAGTTAGGCATTTTATGCAGCAAGTTCCAGTTATGATTATTTATAATTTGTGGTACATTCCCCATTCTACTTGCTGTAATTAGCAAGATCATTATTGAATTTGGCCCTACATGCAAAAGCACAGTTTAGCTAGGAAGTGATACAGGTCACAGTCAGCTGTGTTGTATGAAGCGCTCAAATATGCTTGAGGTGGTCTGAACAGCAAAGACACAGATGTACATGGACAAACAAGCACTTTAAGGGTACATCCAGACATGCAGGGCACATATAGTTTGTGGCCCCACAATCCTCACTTGTTGCACATTAAACCATGCACGGCCCTGCTAATTTGCCACCTGTGGGCAATATCCCCTGTTACCACATGCTGCTCCCTGACTGGCTGGTGCACAGGGTGCCTCAGCCAGCAGGCAGCCCCTGCACTATCTCCACACTCCGGCACTCTGTGCCCCAGTCAGCCCCCTCCTTCCCCACCTCCCGCTCTGCAGCACATGGAGCCCAGCTAGGAGCTGGGAGAAGCTGGATACAGCCCACAACAAAGGGCAATTGCAGGGGCACGCACTGTGGCACAAATTTGTGCTGCTACTATTTGTGCTATGGCAAGCACACAACCTTGCTCATCTGGACATGGCCTAAAGCTGGCCGAAGTGCTTCAAAAATGACCCACAGAAAAAAAAATTAAAAAGGAACAAGTTCGAAGCACTTCCTAAAATGTTTGTATGCCCCAGCAATCCTCTGCATTCCACAGTGCTCTGTTCCCCACTCCACCTCCCTTAGGGAGTGGTGGGAGGAGCAGGACAGTCAGCCAATGAATGCTCTCCTTGCACTCAGCTGTCTTTGGAAACCTCCAAGCTAGGGACAGAAATTGAACGTAAACCAGTGTAAGTGACTGGAAATCAGTTCAAATCTGTAACACAATAGAAGTTCAGTGCACATAAACCACTTTCAAAATGGGTGAACACCATTTAAGATAAACATGGACGGATAGAGGGTCAGACTTAACAGATTTAGGTTTACTGAACTCCTGTCCCTGATCCCCTCCAGATTCAAGTTTACTCACAGTCCCCCCAGAATCCCAGGATGCATTGTACCTTCCCCACAAACCTCCCTCTACTTGCAAGGTAGGTGGGCTAGCTTTGGCCCAAGCTGTCTGCTTCAGCTGAGCAGGGAGGCATGCTCTAGCAGTGCCTGGCTTCTGGCCTGAGCCACTGCAGGCATGTGGCTGCATTTCCAGAATAAGAAATGAATGTCTGTTCACTTGCTTATCAGTTCAATCTACACAGCTTAGACTAACCTGCAAATATTGAATTCATTCATATTGGGCTTTTTGACTGTCTGTACTTAGCCCCAGCGACCAGAGACCAAGAAGCATGTAGGGGTCCCTGCTATTCAGTCCCCTGCCTGGAAAGCAGTGTCACTGAATACCTTCATGGCCTTTTTGTAGATCTCCAGTGAGGGAGTGGCCGCAAGGGCACACATCTATATGGTGTCAAATCTGAAGTGCTCTGGAATTTGAAGCTCTTCAAAATGCATATCTGTCCATGCCCACAGTGAAACAGAGGAAGTTAATAATGACACTAGTCATGAGTACTAGAAAAAATGTATCTTGCCCAGGAACCACAGCAATATAAAAACACAGGCCTCATATTAGCAGTAATCGTAGATCTCCCTCTCTGTTTTTTGTCTAATACAAAGATGGTACATGTCTTGTAAAATTTTCATTCTAGTTGTTATGTGTTTATACAGTACCTGGTACAATGGGGCTGATGTCCATAGGTACTCCCACAAGACAAATGAAAATTAATTACTTGTATGTTATATTTTACAGATTAAATATCATTTGTAAAAAAAGTGCTGAAAATCTAATACTTACCATTATGTGACATGCCAACTGCAAGGCACTTCTGGAATCTGCAGTACTGACATTTATTTCTGCTCTTCTTATGAATGCGGCAATTAAGATCACATCTGTCATAAATCAGCTTTAATCTGATTGTTCTTCGAAAGAAACCCTGCAATAAATATAAAAACATGGGTAAAATATCAGCATAAAAGTATCTGTGATTATGCAAAAAACATGCTACACATGCTCCATCATGAGTCATAATATTCTATTATTGACCATACAACAGGTTTTCCATCTTCCCACTCTTTTGATGTTAAATTTCAAGCAAATTCTAACACTAGCTGTGGGATATGTTTCTTTCCCTTTTTTACTGTGTTTCTTTACTTTCTTGCAAATCTTTTTGTTTTTCCCTTTTTAAAGATTCATTTTCCTCTACCTATACTGTTTCCCTGGGTGTTCTTAGGGCTAACCTTTTTTAAATAGGTATTTCTGGAATCTATTTCCTAGGATGATTATTTATCCGGAGCATTCGATTTTTTGTTTAGTGTTTGGAACTTACTGGTGTGCAAAGTACAAGAGCACATGAAAAATTCTAAACCACTTGCGCAGGGTAACTACTGAACAGAGCCATGTACACCTATAAAGAGATACATTGTTGTTGATTATTATGGAAATTCAAAATGTTGTCATTTGCAACATTCTTTTATTACTTCAAAGTTTATAGAAATAGAATCTAACAATGTAACAAAAATATTTCTGCTTATGCGGTGGTTTAGAATTTAGTACCAGTTATGAATTCTGCATAAAGATGCAGCTCTTGCAGCCAACTATCAACAGCATAAATAATAGCCAGTAAGCAATAGGACATTTCAGAAGCAATGTGTTTCTAAATGGATTATTGCTCTTGTTGGATTAGATCTGTAATGCAAAATTAGGACTGTACTTGAATAACCCCCATATGATTGTAATCTTAGATTATTCATGCACAGTTTATAGCCAAGTTTATTACAAATCACTACTTGCTACAACCTCATACCTAAATTATAAGCATGGTGCTGACTTCCATTTACATAATTAATTGTGACCTTAAGTAATCAACAATACACATACTATTCTTTAGATAATTTTTTTGTTTGCAATTTTGACTTTCATGCTTTTGTTCAACATTAGATTAGGTCTATCCCATTATGCATCTTTCACGGGACATGATGAATTTCACTTCAGGTGCTTTAAAATATTGAATGTTGATTTACCTTCTTTACTAGTGACTCAACAAGCTACAAGAAGCAAATATTATCATTTTATTTATACTTTCCTGATGACCCTGGCATTGATCACCTATTACTGAAGATAAGATATCTTTGTAGTTTTTTAAGTCACTCTCTAATATCTCGAGACTTTCTATAACTGTCTACACCTGGGCAAAGCGAGTGCAGAATGCTACCAAATCAGAATAATAGAAACTGAACATGCAGTTACCTAAGGTTGGACTAAAAACTGGAATTGGGTACTAATCTTCCTTTAACTCAAATCTACTTTTTAAAGTAGTAATGGGATAATTCTGATTAGATAACCTTTTCTTGTAATTGACCAAACTGAAAATAAATCTAGCATAAATAATAAAATGAAAATTATTAAATTATTATTTATAATTAATTATATTAATTATTAAATTAATTTTAATTATAGAAAGTGTCTGTAATAGATAGAAAAACATTTTAAACAAATTGTATTAAATTTAACAGTAATCTCTCAGATTCTTTTTTTAATGAGTGATTTTTCACTTGGTAATAGTAACAAGTTCTCATGACAGAGAGGACACTCATGTGACCACCTACCTTACAGCCTTCACATGCATGTACACCATAATGAAACCCAGAAGCCTTGTCTCCACACACTCTGCATTCTATAATCATAAGGGAATTAGAAGATTCTTCATGAGGTTTATTGTACAACTGGACTTTTTCTGAAAAATAAGGTGGAGAAGGAGGCTCCATTTTGATTGTACCTGTGTATGAAAAAATAGTACCTGGTCAAAAAGTACAATAAGATGTCAAGAAGTAACAATAAATAGATTCATTATAACTAGCAACCATAGTATAAATAAGGCCAGATTCTTAACCCTGTTTAATAAATATTAAAAATAATGAGTTGTAAACAAAAGGTGTAAAGTACTATAAGCTACATGCAGCCATATAAGCAGGCTATAAATGAGGCTGAACAATTTTGAAGATGGTAGGCTCTGGAGAAGAAAGAGGATCATAGATTCAGAATTCAAATCTGTAGTGTACTCTCTCACTGTTCAAAGGCCTTGTAGTATTCATTGCAAATGCAGGGCTGAAGTCCCTAATGTGGTCTAAAAACACAATTACATGAAAGAACCAGTCAGTTTGATATTTTGGATCATTAAAGAGGTTAATGGTTCTAAAGCTGCTTATGCTCTTAAAAATATGTCTTTCTACTGGAAAATGTGGTTCAGTCTCAGTGGGTGCATCTACACATGCTGTTAAGGCAACACAATATACTTAGGCACAGTTTCTGCCAGAGTTAACTGCTCCTGGGCACAGGGTCTACAAGTGTGCCTGGGACCACAGCAATTACAGCTGGGGTGGAGCAGTTCTGAGCTGGCAGGGGCATGGGGGTTCAGCCCCAGGCTCTGGGTGGTGGAGGGGCTGTCAGGGTCCAGAGGTCTGGCAGGGGCCAGAGGTCTCCATTGTAAGACAGTACTATCCCCAACAGTACTATTTTACAGAAGAATTAATCTACTGCACCCTAATACCAGCGTATGCAGGGCTGGTACAAACATTAGGTGAACTAGGTAGTCGCCTAGGGCACCAAAGTTTGGGGAGGGGGTGTCAAAAGTATATGCAGAACAAAATAACAGGAACATCATTCTAAATAACAGCCCTGGCACCACCTTGGTCTAAGAACTTTGGTTCAGTAAGGGGAGAAAGACCTCTGAAAAGATCTCAGAGGAAAGCTCACTAGAATCGCGACTCCTACCTTTTCAACACTCAAGCGGACTTATGACAAGAGCATACCACTGGCAATGTCATCCTAAAAAATGAACCCCTACTCCTATATCATCTTACAGCTCATTAAACTAATTTCTGACACCATTTTTCTCCCTTCTAACCACTCTTTTTAAAATCTAAAGCATCTTAGATTTCATCAGATGCATTTAAGATTTCATCAAGAGTAAGATGACCAAAATACACCAACTCTGGGTACAGATATGAATTGTGCCTGTAATTCAGGAAACAGGCTTCAAGGTAGGAATGTCTTGGTTTGATTTTGTAGATCTCAATGTAGTTCTCGACGTAGTTATCGTAGGTACACCCGAGTGGTCATGTTTAATATTCTCAATTTTATAATGTCTAGAAATGGTCAGAGTATGATTGCTGAATCATTACATTTAATTCTTGTAAGAATGCATGTGATTTTTTAAAGTAAGTTGAGCTAGGGATAAGGATTTATATACAAATTATGTTTGGATACTTATGTGAGAGATACGTAGGCATTTAGAATATGTGTGTTAATGCAGAATGAGTGGTAATTAATTGCTAGCAAGCTCAAGAGATATTTTTAATTAGTTCATTATATAATGCCTGTATCATTGTTGTGTAAGGAAACAGTTGTATGACTGTGTGTACAGAACATGTAAGGTTGGTTGACCCAGAAATCATGGGATATGTGAGATAAATAAACATAACTACTCAATGGATAATGACAATTTACTTTATAGAAGACCATGCTAAGGAAACAGGAAAACATCTGCTTGACCATGCAGTCTTGACCAACATTAGATAACCAGTTGCCATGTTTACACCCTTAGTCGTACATCCTAACAAATACCTTCCTGATTGCAGGGGCAGTTTGCCCATTAAGGCACTTTAGGCAGTGCCTAGCCATATTTCTTTCATGATAATTTAATCAATTGTCCACATTATTAATGTCATCACAGCCAGAATTTTCTTTGAAATTGTTCTTAGATTCATGAATGACACGTGCCCCTGGGGGCTGGGGGGTGCATGGCAGCAGCAGGAGCATGGCGGAGGGAGTGCTGACTGCCTGTAGACACCACCAGCGGTGTCAGCAGTGGGGGGAGGGGGGTCACTGGCCACAGGCACCGCTGACAATGTCGGCAGCGCCTTTTTGTAGGGGGTGCACCGCTACGCTCACGGCATTGCCCCTATGCATTGCTCCTGCTTAGATTGATTGTTCTCTATATTGATAATTTATTTGAAACAGTTTAAAACCGTGTCAGGGGAATGGTACCATGGCAGATAGAAAAAACCCGTCTGGAGCTTAGTGTCATAAACGAAAAGCTGAACAGGAAAAAGAATAAGCAAAGCAAAAGGGTTCCATCCTGAAATACCTTCCATTTCAACCACATCAAGATGGAAGCAGTTCACAACATCAAGGTGAAGGAAGCTCACATCAAGACAAAGGCAGCTCACAGCATCAAACTGACATTGAAATCGAGAAAATTTATTCACCTACAAACACACATGCTGAAGTTGAGGTAGATAAAGATAATAAGGGAGCAGAAGGTACATATATGAAAGATGAAGAAGGTGCAAACAAGTTACAGTACGGTGACCCTGCTACATGGCCTAGATGTGATGACCCTGTGCGACAAATAGTGGTGGAACATGGACCTGAACAAGTTCAGGAATTTCACTTCCCTAAATATGGAAATAAAAGAAAATTCTCTGTGCATCATTGCAAGAGATTACTTACCAATGGGGAAGAAATGTATTGATAGTGGCTACAATATTCAGTGTCAAAAGACTCAAGTGTTTTGCTTCTGCTGCAAACTGTTTAGCAGTAAAGCAACTGGTGCATCATCACTTACTGAAAACAGTTTGAAGGACTAGAAAAACATATCTGCAATTGTCTCTTCTTATGAAAAAAAGTTGTGAACATTTGGAAAATTTCCCAAACTGGAAAGAACTTGAACTGTGATTGAAAAACCAGAGAACTATTGATGAAGAAAATTTACATGGAATCAGGTGAGAAGAAGAATACTGGCAGTAAATATTGGAGTGACTGATTGCTTTAGTGAGAGTTCCTGGTGGGCAAACCTGGGCATTCTGCAGGACAAATTAAAAATTATATAGTGCTGGTAATGGAAACTTCTTAAAATTTATTGAATACCTGGCTGTGTTTGATCCAGTCATGAAGGAGCATCTGCATAAAATAAGTGACCATGAAACACATGTTCATTAACTTGGGAGAAGGTGTTGCAGGGCACTAAGGTGCCTGCTCCTTTAAGGGCAGAAACTGCCTAGAGAGTGCACCCTAGCAGTCAGGCAGGAACCCCCACAGGTGCAGGATATTGTGGCAGCAGACCTAAGGAGGGAATGGACCTGTACCTGCAGCCAGTCAGCTGATCAGAAGAGGCAGGGCCCTGGGCACATATAAACCCCAGGGCTGGGACTAGAGGGTCAGTTCCCTGCCAGCAGCCAAAGGGGAAGGAGCCTCCCGGGAGGAACTGCCCAGGGACGCTGCAGCTGCCAGACATGCTGCACTTAGGGCTAATGGGGCTCCAGGAACTCACCAGGTACCCTTGCCTACAAGGCACTTGGTGCCAGGGAGGAAGTTTGACTCTTTTAAAAGGGCAGAGCACACCCTGAACTTTTTGTGTTATGTTATAGCCCAGGGGCTCATATTTTTGGTTGATGTTTCTATAAACACTGGTGGATCAGGCTGAGGCTATTGGGGAAGGAGGAGCCTCATTGGGGGCCCACTACAGTGTGGGGACCCCAGTGACAGGGAGGCACAGAGATGTAGGGGGTGAGCAGACCCCAGCGGCAGGGGCATAGAGATGAAGGGGGTGAATAGACCCCAGCGCCAGGGGTTGTGCAGACAGGGCTGTGGAGAGCCCAGCGCCAGGGGGCACGGAGAGAGACAAGTGGTGAATACCATCTGCAAGGCTTGGGGCATGGTAAAAGGGAGGTTTTGGAGCCACACATCTAGCCCATAAGGCTGAAGGTGCCCCAAGGCAACCATTTTTGTGCAAGACCCAAAAGGGGTCCAAGAACCCACAGGGTTCAG